CCCCCAACTGCCCTCCCCTGCTGGCCTGATCACCCACAACTGCCCTCCCTTGCAGGCCATCTTGTGTGTTGGAGAGATGGTCAATTTGCATATTACTCTTTTATTAGATAGGATGCTGTGAGAAGGGGGTTCAACTTCATTCTTTTGAACGATGTGGGTGTCCAGTTGTCCCAGCACTATTTTCTCCCTTAAATTGTCCTGTGACTCTGGTGAAAAAAAAAAAAATCAATGGACTATAATGTGAGGGCTTATCTCTGGGTCTTCCATTCTATCCCATTGATCTATACTAGTATGTCTGTTCTTATGCCAGTGCCACATTTTCCTGACTACTGTGTAGTAACTTTCGACATCAGGAAGTGAATCCTCTAACTCTGTTCTTTTTCAAGACTGCTTTTGGTTATTCTGAGTCCCTTGCATTTCTATATGAATTTTAGGGTCAGTTTTTCAATTTCTGCAAAAAAGGCACCTGGAACTTTGATAGAAATTGTGTTAAATCTGTAGATAAATTTGGAGGAGTACTGCCATCTTAACAATATTAAAGTCTTCTAATTCACACACATGGAATGTTTTTCCATTTATTTATGTCTTTAATTCAGCCGTGGGCAAACTACGGCCCGTTTGAAATGAATAAAACTAACAAAAAAAAAAAGACCGTACCCTTTTATGTAATGATGTTTACTTTGAATTTATATTAGTTCACACAAACACTCCATCCATGCTTTTGTTCCGGCCCTCCGGTCCAGTTTAAGAACCCATTGTGGCCCTCGAGTCAAAAAGTTTGCCCACCCCTGCTTTAATTCCTTTAATAATGTTATCTAGGTTTCAGAGTACAAATTTTATGTTCTTTTGTTAAATTTATCCCTAAGTGTTTTATTCTTTTTGATGCTACTATAAAGGGAATTCTTTTTTAGATTTTTCCTTGCTAGTGTGTAGAAATAAAACTGATTTTTATATATTTTAAAAAAATATATTGATCTTGTATCTTGTTGAACTTATTAGCTCCAATAGTTTTTTAGTGAATTCCTTAGAGTTTTCTATGTACAAGGTCGTCACCTGTGAACAGTGATGGTTTTACTTTTTCCTTTATAATCTGAATGCTTTTACATTTTCTTGCCTAACTTCCCTGGTTAGAAATTCTAGTGCAATGTTAAATGGAATGATGAGAGCAGACATCCTTGCTCCTGATCTTAGAGGGAAAGCACTCTGTCTTTCCCCAATCTATATAATAAAAGGCTAATATGCAAATAGACCGAACGGCGGAACAACCGAACAACTGGTTGCTATGACGTGCACTGACCACCAGGGGGCATGAGCGGAACTTGGCGGGCGTTGGCCGCGGCAGGATGGTGGAGCAGGTGAGTGGGGCCTCCAGACCAAGGCGGGCACCAGTCGTTGTCACTGGGGCGAGCCTCTGGTGGTTACTGAAAATTCTTTGCTCCCGCGGGCCACAGTCCCGCCCGGCACTGACCCACTGCTGGCGCCTGGTGCTGGCCTTAATCACTCGGCGCCATCAGCAGGTGCGAGTGATGGCCATCAACCCCAATTGCCCTTCAGGGCTTCTCCACCTCCCACTGCTCCTGAGGGGAGATCAGGGCCAGCAGCTGCCTGCTGCTTGTACCCGCTGCGGGTGACAGTCCCGCTCGCACCTGCTGCCAGTGCCGGAGCCACCGCTTGCACCCACTGCCAGTGCCGGCCCAGCTTGCACCCACTGCCGGTCCCAATCACTTGGCACCATCAATGGGTGTGAGCGGCAGCTGCCAGTCCTGATTGCCCGAGGGCTTCTCCACCTCCCCCTGCTCCTGAGGGGCGAACAGGGCAGCAGCTGCTGATTGCACCCGCTGACAGCACCGGCCCTGCTTGCACCCACTGCTGGCGCCGGCCCCAATCGTGCCTTTGACGGGTGCGAGCGGGGCCAGTGCCGTCAGTGTGTGGGAGTGGCGGTAGCAGGAGCAGGGCTGCCCGTGGACAGGTGACCAGGGGCTTTTTTTTTAGAGATGGGCCAAGACCTGCCCCCGCGCCCACAGTTCCTTTCAAGGTGCACGAATTCGTGCACTGGGCCCCTAGTTAAGTATGTTAGCCATGGTTTTTTCACAGGTGCCCTTTATCAGGTGAGGCAGTTCCCTCCTAGTCCTAATTTGTCAAGTGGTCTTTTTTTTTAATCATGAAGGGGTGCTAAATTTTTTCAAATTCCTTTTCTTTGTCTTTTGAAATGATCATGTGGTTTCTCTCCTTTATTTTGTTAATAAGGTATATTACATAAATTGATTTTCAGATACTAAATGAACTTGGTATTCTTGGGACAAAATCCCATCTGGTCATGGTGTATACTCCTGCTATGTATTGCAAGATTTGGTCTGCTAGTATTTTTTTTTTAAATCCTTATTTACAAGAGACATTGATCTGTCATTTTCTTTCCTTGTGATGTCTTTGCAAAAGTCCATTTTTGGAGAGATGAAGTCTAACAATTTGTATATTACCACTTTTATGAATTTCTGTGCACTTAACCACAGATCCAACCTGTTTTGTATACTTATTTCAAGGTGTTCATTTAAAGGAGGTGGCATAGTAATGGCTTCCTGGCTTTTGTATTTCATGAACCACAATAATAGTTTTATTTTTTTTAATGAAACAACTGCAGTGTCAATTTATAATTTTGCCAAAAAAGGACGTGTAAACGTAATAGCTCCTTACTATTATAATCATACTAAAAAGGACATTTTGATAGCAAAGGAAAAAAAAGAGATGGACAACATAAAATAAAAACCCTCCATTTAAATGTAATAAACACAGGTATGTAAATCTTGCTACATATTTGTTCTTACTTTTCAAATGATGCCAGGTGTTGTAGAAGAGTGGTAGAAGAGAGAACAGTCATCTACTAACTCAAAGTTCAAAGGTTTTCTCAGTAGATCTCCTAAATGACCAGAAAGATACTTCAGCTAATCAACTCCTATTCCCAGCCTTACACACTCTAACAGCAACTGCAAAGTAAGCAAAAAGATGACATGGACAGGACCCCACGGATCTGATTCTTCTCTGTAAGCCTAGAGCAGTGGTTCCTAACTTACTGGTGACTTGGAATGAGTATGGTTGCTGGTCATAGTCAGCATCAAGTAAGATCAAGAGATCCAATAATCACTCTGTAGCACACAGTTTGCAGACTGACAAAATATAAAATGCAACAATTGTCTATCTGTGTTTAATGGTTAAAGGGGGCCCTTAGATTCAAAAAAATCACTAGCCAGACTATACTATAAAGTTCTTAGCAAAGCACACAAAGCCTGTGCCAATTTGGCCCCCACTTACCTTTTCAGCTTTCTTCTAGCCACCTAAGCTATTCTGCCTCCTGAACTTTCTTTCATACGTTGGTATTCCATCCTGAAGCTTGGTTTGCTCCCCTTTCTCAACTGGTAAATTTTAAGCACCTTCTTTACCCCCCTTCATTTAATTTGACAACTTCCTAAGTCTTCATTATGTTCTGGTTATGATTATACAGTTTATAGTTCTCTCTGCCAACCCCACCCAGGTCAGGGAGCAGCCTTTATTGCTCCCTTATCTGTGTTCTCAGCTTGGTACAGATGGCTCTATCATAGCACTTGTTATATCATTTCCATATCTGTATCATGTGTTAGTCCATAACCCCAAGAGCAGCCAATCTTAGTCATTTTTGTATTGTTAGCATCTAGCAGAGGGCCTGCCATACTGCAGGCCAACAACATATTAAAAACAAAAATTCAATTGTATGATTTCTAAGATCTGGATCATGAGACTGTCTAGAACAGCAGTTCTCAACCTGTGGGTCGAACGACCCTTTCACAGGAGTCGCCTAAGACCATCGGAAAACACATTTATAATCACATATTGTTTTTGTGATTAATCACTATGCTTTAATTATGTTCAATTTGTAACAAGGAAAATACATCCTGCATATCAGATATTTACATTACGATTCATAACAGTAGCAAAATTACAATTATGAAGTAGCAACGAAAATAATTTTATGGCTGGGGGACACCCCAACATGAGGAACTGTATTAAAGAGTCGCGGCATTAGGAAGGTTGAGAACCACTGGTCTGGAAGGAAATTTTGAGATCAACTCCTTTCTCCTCTTAACCTATCGTCTTCCCTTTTTACATAAAGGAGTACCTCTGTTTTGTTCCTTTTTTTTCTATTTTTAAAGGGGTGTGGAGAATCACACCGTGCCTCTGCAGGTCCACTCAGAAATGACACTTGCCCCTTCTATGCATATTTCATTGGCCAAATCAAGTCACAAAAGTCGGGAAGGAGAACCCAAAACATTCAGTGAACAGCTTGACGTTACCCCTTTTCTTAATCATCTGTATCATAGACCCCACCCTGCTTTAATGCTCTTCATTGCACTGCTCCCTATTGGATATTATATTTACTTGTTTATTGTTTGCCTTCTCCTCCTAGATCTAAGTTCTGCAAGGTCAGGGTGTGCCTGGTTTTGTTCACTGTGTACCTGCAACACTAAGGACAGTGCTTGGTATACAATAGGCACTCAAATAACTTGTAGTCACATGGGTCAGTAGTAACACGAATAGTTAATATCTAAAGGTACTTACCATGTGCCTCACAATGTGCTAAATGCTGTTCATACAGTAACTCATTTGATCCTCAGCTCAATCCTATGGGGGATATAGGTCTATCATGACCCTCATGTTCCAAACAAGAAATATAAGACTCAGGGAGGTTGAGACACTTGCCCAAAGTTACACTGCCAGTTAGTGGCACAGCCAACCATTCGACCTCTGAGAGGCCCTGCTGGGCCCAGCCACTTATGATTAGGGGGCAGAGTCATAATGTCTATGCACGCAGCTGAGTGTCCACCACATGTGGGGACAGGGCTTGAGAGCATGCTCAGAGGACAGAGTAACAACGGCAAAAATTATAAGGTTGTCACCAATTATTAGGTGACAGATACCGTGCAAAGGGAGGCACATCTGATTATATGCTCACAAAAATCACAGGAGCAAGTGTTGCTCTTTGCCTATGGTCTTCCTTTTTCACATAAATGAGTATCTCTTTTTTCATTCTTTATCTACAGTCCTGGGACAAAAACTGGTCTCATGAGAAGAGAACCTGAATGTCTGCTGACACAAAACAGACCTAGCTCTAAAAACATTGGGTGGGTGGGTGAATGAATGAATGAATGAATGCACCTCTCAAGGGGCGCTCCACAGGCCACCCCATCCATCATAGAACTGTTCAGGACTGTGTAATGGGTTAGGGAGCTTGAAAACATTGGAGTCTAGAAGCTGGCTTATGAAGAATGACGGGATTAGTCTACTCCCAATTTCCTTGTTTCTAATAACAAAATAATCTGCCCCCCTTCCCCAACAAAACAAAGCATTATGACTATTTTCTAAGCAAGAGCCAATTCCAACTTAGATACTGCTGATTTTTTTCAAAAAAAAGTATTGAAATTTCAATTGCAAGCTTATTTCAAAGAAATACTGTCATCTGAGAAGTGGAGAAAAGGGCTGGCCACTTCCCAGCTGGCCCTCCAACCCCTGCTGACAGAAGGTGAATGCCAGTTTGCTTTCTGTCAAAGGGTAACAGCAATACTCAGACATCCAGAACACCTCTGACTCACTTTTCCTCTTTTATTGTGATAACAAAACGGGGCCCACAAACTATAAATTCCTATTTATAACCAGGAAGCAAGTAAACCGAGCTATGTTAAAGTGTAATATGAAATTCTCCTTTGGGGGACCTTCAGTATATCAAAAGGATATTAAAAAAACACACAAAAGAAGCCCAAAGTTACCCTTCACCAGAGGAGGGAACCAAGTACAAATTTCCTATCCATAACATCCTTAAGTCTAAGTAGCCCTACTTAGAACCTTCGGCACCAAACCATTAGGCTGAAGACAAAGGAACAAAACTCTCATTTACTGATGGTGAGTGGGCATACATGATCCTTAACTGTCTTGGCTGTGTTTCCCCATAGTATTTATTAATCCATCCACTCTGTGAAGAATGACATAATCTGAGACTAAAACAACATTACTACTTTGCTCGTCAAAAAACTGTTGAGAAAGAACACTCTCCCTTTTGTCCCATAATCTTGAGTTTTTACAGGAAAATAAGTCACAAGTTTCCAGCTTGTCAAAAAAGAGCACCAAAAGGCAAAGTACAGAAATAAAGTTCAAAGCCGTCTCTAACTCAAAATTACTGTAGGACCCTGACAGAGTGCACTCACTACTTATTCCCCAACCTGTGTATGTCAAGCTTGGTTCACTTTGTTGCTCTACCAATCAGTATCTTCCCCAGCCAAACCTAGTAAATTGAACCTGTTTAGATTTCCTTAATCTCATGTAGGACAGTGACTGCTCTCATCCCCTTCAAGTATTTAGCCACCTTCTCAATGAAACCTATTCTGATGATGCTATTAAATTTGTAACTGGAGGCCCATCTCACTTCCTAACCCTTACCACCTCTATTTTTTCCTGTAGTATTTATCCATTATGTACATATAAATATCATATGTAAATTGTATATGTATACAAAAATTATATCTATATCTATCTATTTAAACATATGTGTGTATCATCTCCTCTGCTAGAATTAAGCTCCAAGAAGTGTGGACAAAAGGGGCCACATGCTAACCTGACAAGCTCAGGGGAGGCCTGCATGGCAGTCTTGCAAACTCAGAGACCTAAAGTAACCACAAAGGATGGTCTGAAATTAAATTTTAACTAAAAGCAGTTATGGTGGGTAGTTACATC